CACACACACACTGTATGAGTGCAACAATATATATATATATATATATATATATATATATATATATATATATATATATATATATATAGCACATATATATCATATTTGTGTGTTCGTACTTTTGTCGCTTCAGCTGTTTTCATACAAGCTGGCAGTACTACCCCTGCAAGCAATCCTGCTGTTGAAAAACTGGAGAAGTTAATATAAATCGGTCAAGTCGACGAGTGTTATGGAAGGCAGTACTGCTGAAATCTGATCTATATGATCTTTCAAGAAGCAGCATAAACCGTATAAAGTTATCCTCCGACTGACTTTACGTTTGCAATATCTATTTCTAGGGGGGCAAGTAAACCTATGAAAAGCGTACATTTGTCTGGTTATATGCGTTTTTTTTGATCTGTTTGTTTTCTCATCTCTGTAAACTATTACTACATCATTGTTGGTCTATATTATTGTGTTCACTGTGTCTCTCTGGCTGCGCATCTCTCCTGTGGCTGTGCTGTGCTTGTTTTCGACTGAGAAACGAGGAAAGCTGGTTGAGGTGTGCTGAATATTCACATAAACATATTAATATACAAACAATTACATAAATTTTTGGGGGTACTAACGTGACACTACCGGCGAATCGCAAATGGCTATGCAGCTGTTCATATTCTTAATTTTCGTTTTCGTGGTCTTTCTGTTGTATGGCTTCTGAGATTCTTTAGATATTAAGTGATTTCAGATATCAAGTCAATTCTTTTGGTATGAATTTCTTTGTTTCAGTATCTAGTGCAGCTCTCTGCACCAACATATAGTTCGTCTGCCTAGAAGAGATGTACACGGATAAGTAAGGATATTCACGGACAAACAAGAGTCGGATCATAATAACAAGTCGGAAGGAAAACCGCAACCACCATGCGAGGTGGAAAGGCCTCAGAATGTAAAGTTTACACTCCGATATTTCTTCGTAGATTCGCTGCTTTTCATCTCAATGCTCTATCGAGCATGTTGCTCGGAGCAGCAACTACAGTTAGGCTAATCACGCAGCAAGTGAACC